CCGCCCCCCCCCTCCCCGGGCGTGATGCACTCTTTTGTGCGTTCCCTCACCTCATTTTTACTGGGTGCACATTAGGTGCCATCACTGGAGAAAAGGGAAGAAATCTGTCTTTGGAGGATTTACCTCCCAGCCGTTCATCCTGGGGCTTGGCATCTCTGTTGCGAACCTTCACTTGCGGAAATAGCAAGTCACACAGAGCACCTCACTTACCTGGCTTGGGACCAGGCGACTTTTCTGGGTAACTGAAGGCAACTATATTTAAAACCGAGCGTGTCTTCCTCATTGTGCCACTCAAAAGATATTTTTATTTTGAAAATACGTACAAGAATTTTACTGGCTGTCATAACTGATTCTACCGATTAGTATATTCCCAACATTCATGACCTCTTAATGTGTATTTTTCATCCTCAGTTCTTACGTCTCTTGCATATGACTGAACCTAACTAGTCTTCCCCTTTTAATGCAATGATTTTGTTTCTGGACTAATACCACTCATCCTCTGAACTTAAAAAGGAAATACCTCGCCCTGGCCGGGTGGCTCAGTTGCTTGGAGCATCATCCTGTACAGTAAAAGTTCGAGTCCCAGTCAGGGCACAGGCTGAGGTTTCGGGTTTGATTCCTGGTTGGGGCGTGTATGGCAGGTAACTGATCGATGTTTCTCTCCCCCCCACTCCCTTTCCTCTCTCTCTAAAAAAAATCAATAAACACGTCCCTGGGTGAGGATTAAAATACATACATACATACATACATACTAAATAAATAAATAGAAATATTCCAGAAACACCCTATGACCAACATGACACATACATGTAACAAGCAGCAGCCAAGGCCTTCTGCACCGCCTCTGATGGAAGACTTTGTGAGACAGGGACCACTTTCCCTGCTTCTTAGACAGGACACACAGGCTCTTTCAACACCACGGTGCCGTGAAAGAGCCAGCCTGGCTTTGCCAATCTCCTGGTGACGCATTGAGCCCCAAGAAGCAGAACCGACAAGGGGCTAGTGGCAAAGACTCTGGGTCAATGCCAGTTCTGCCATTTGCTAGCTGTGTGACCTGGGACCAGTCACTTCCCCTCTCTGGGTCTCATGTTCTCTCCATAAAATGGGACAAAAATGAGACAACACATGGAACGTGCATAGCGGCTGCCTGGATGCTGTTTGTGCTCAATAAATGTTAGCAAACCAGAAACCAACAACAAGCCGAAGGTCTGGCAGTCTACCCTCAGGGCCCCTTTCTCTGAGTCTGAGGTTGCAACCTCACCCTCAACGCCTTCGGTCCTTCTGGGGTGAGTGACTCGCCCCAGCACCAGTGGGCGTTTATTGACTGGCTGCTCCCCTCTGCACCAAAAGCCCCCACATGCTGCCTGAGAGGTGGAGTGCTGCTGCTTGCCTCCTCCTGTCCGGTCGTTTTCTCTGTAGGCGGTCAGCTGTCACTTGCCACCACCCGGGGCCGGACACGCCTCACCCCTGATCACCCTGGATATTTTTATTGACACCCTCTTCCTCTGAGCCACCCCTTAAGGATGAGGCATGCTGAGAATGAATGGTAAGGCCCTGTGTGCTGGGGCTCCTACTACCCAGTCCACACCTTTGGTCAGTCTCGAACCCTGTCCACCATCCTGGGAAGTAGGTGGTATTTCCCCCTCACCTCCCATGGGCAGCATTTGGGAGGCGAGGAAACTCAGGCTCAGAGAGACAGGTATCTTCCCAAAGTCACAGAGCAAGGTTGGGATGGAACCAGGATTCGAATCCAGCCCGGAGCTGGGCTTGCTGACTCAGGGTCCTCTCCACTCAGCCAGAGCTGGGTGGCCCGTTCGTCCCTTCCTCCAAGCTCCAGCCCAGGTGGTCCCAGGCCATGAGACCCACCAGAGGGGAAGGAGACGTGGCGTAGTCCTGACCCCTCCTCCCCAGCAAACAAAGCCCAGGGTCTCTCTCTAAGTGGGGACTTTCCCAAAGTGCCAGGCCTGTTTCCTGGAGGTGGAACAAGAAACAAACAGATCAGAGACCCAGAAACTGAAATGGAGAGGATTGAAACACAGACAGAAAAGCCCTAAAGGAATGAGGCATAACAGACCCAGAGAGAGAGAGAGAGAGAGAGAGAGAGAGAGAGAGAGAGAGAAGAAATAGGAGGAAGAGGAGGAAGAGAGAAGAGGGAGAGACGTAAAGGGAGAGAAAAAGAGAAGGAATGAGAGAGAAATTCAGATAGGGAGAAGAAATGGGGGGGAGGGAGAGAGAGAGAGACATAGAGACACTGAGGCAGAGAATGAGAAAAGAGGGGCAGGGCCCAGAGCTGGAGGCCCAGGGAGTGTGGATGTGGAGACCCCCTTGCAGGGCAGTGGAGGGGGTGGGGCTGCTGGCAGCAGCAGAGGCTGTTTCCGCTGCACCCCTTATCAGCCTGCTGCCAGATGTTCAGATCCGATGCCAATGTCAGAGAAGTCCATAGTGCCGGGTCAAGGCCGTGGCCAGCGGGAGCCTCAGCTGCGGTGTAGGGAGGGGTGGCGGGGGTGGGGGATAGACCTGCTTGCTCCTCCCCATCTGCCTCATGGCTCCCTGGGCTGGACCACCTGGTGGGGGTGGGAGACCAGGTACCTCTGGGGACTTCTCTAGCCTGAGAGCAGGGACTTGAGGCAGAGTGGGGCTTCTGGCAACCTGTGGACACAAACATCTTTGCACACCCACATGTGAGGAAGTACAGGGACACATGCACATGCAATCTACACTTGTGCACATGGGTGCACGCGGGGCCAGCCCAGTCTGCACCCAGCTTTCCTCTGCCGGAGCCCTGCTCTGCCTGGTCAGCTGGTGAGCCCAGCCCCTCACTTGAGCCAGGACTGCAGCCAGAGTAGCAGCAGGGACCCAGCTGGCTCTTCTGTGAACAGGACACTGGCAGAACCTGCATGCCTCAAGGGCTGGGCTGAGGCACCCGGGACCTTCTGGAATAAGAGCAGGTGGAGACCCTCGGGAGCAGATGCAGGGACTGGGTGTCTGGTGAGCTGGGCTGCAGCCTTGGGCCTGGGCCTCTCCGCCATGCTCCTGGAGCATGAAGCCGCAGCTGGGCCCCCCTCCTGGGGTGGTTTATCTCACAGTGCACGCGCTCGGCCCTCAAGGGGTGACCCAGCCTTGCTCCCCGCATTCCTCTCCGGCCACGCAGCCGGTGGGCCCCCCACAGCTGAGACAGGGCCTGGACTTGGGGGTGGTCAGGAGCAATCACTCAGAGCCACGCGCTGCCCTCTTGGCCCTAGCCCTTCGCAGCCGTGTCTTTGCTTCTCTCTCTGCTTTTGCCTCTGAGCATCTCTAATTTTGTCTGTGCCACAATGAATCTGTCTTTCACTGTCTGCCTGTATTTCTCTGGGAAGGTCCCACCTTATTTGTTTCAGTGTCAGTGTCTCTGTCTGTCTGTCTGTCTGTCTGTCTGTCTGTCTGTCTGTCTGTCTGTCTGTCTGTCTGTCTGTCTGTCTGTCTGTCTGTCTGTCTCTCTCTCTCTCTCCCATCCTTGCATGGGACCAAGTCTGGGGCTATGTCTGCTCTTCCTTCTGGCCCGTAGAGGCTTCCCTCAATGGGAATGTAGGTGAGAAATCAGGCTGTGGGCCTGGGCAGAGGGCCTGGGCAAGGGAGGCCTGAGACTTACAATGGGTGCACTGGGGCGGCCCAAGCAGACGCCCAGACCCCAGACCTCCAGCCTAAGTCAGCCCAGATAATGGACATGGATCCGGGTGTGGCCTGGGGGGCTCCTCCCCAGTATAGTAGAGAAGACTGGGGGGTAGGGTAGGAGGAGGAAGCTGGGGCTGGAGGTCTCCAGGCCTGAGGGCCTCCTTCCTGTTTGTTGGGAAGTGACTGCCTCCGAAAGCTGCTCAGGGGAGAGGAGGGAGGCCATGACGACTTCCGGGAAGCTGGCCCGAGGCCACCCTCCCTGTGCCCGCTGGCCCTGGCTTAAAATAGTGCAGTTCCTCTGCCGGGGCTGCTGCTGCCAGGCTCCGTCCAAACCTCACAGGGCTGCTCGCTGCTGCCTGTGCTACCAGCCGACTCTGGAGAGGTGGGATTCACCCAACTCTCCAGTCCTCAGGCTGAGGCTGGCGGAGAGTTAGAAAGTAGGGGTTCCCGAGTCAGAAACCTGCACACCAGTCTCCGCCACGACACTGACCAGCCACGAGACTGGCAGGTCCATCTTGCCTCCTTGAGCCTTGGTTTCCACTTATGCAAAATAGGGTGAGTGCCTGGCTTTCAAGCTAAATGAGATCACGTATGTAGGCTCTTCAGAACCTCGCCAGGCATCACATGGACCTAAAAAATGGGAGTTCCCTTTGCCTCTCTTGCTGGCTGTTAGTCAAACTCCTCACTTGAGGAAGGGCCTCCTTGGAGCTTCCCTCCGTTCCTACACAGCTCTAGGGCTAGGTGTTGAACAGGAAGGTCTGTGGAGAGGGAGCTTGCAGGGAGGGCAAGAATGGGGCTGTGGTCTCCATGGTGAGACTTGTTGCCAAGGGAACAAGACTCCAAGAGCCCTGGGTCTGACAGTTGGGCACTTTTGCCACAGGATCTCAGAAAGGCTGATTTTAGGTGGAGCTACACTCCTGGTGGGCAGCCAGGCCAAGCTAAGCTAGAGCGGGGGCTTCTGGCTCTGCTGGTGTCTGCTACTGGGGTGTGAGGGGCTGCGGCTCCCCTCACACTGCTTCCTTTCATGGATTGGCTGCATTGAGCCCCAACTTTGAACCAGCCTCAGTGAATCTTTAAACCCTTAAGACACAGGCACTGCCACTTCCATTTATCTGACAGGGAAAGTGAGGATCGGAGAGTCATCTATCTGGGTCAAGGCCACATACAGCTGGTGAGGGGAAGAGCTGGAATTAGAAGAGAGGGGAGACTCCTGGTTGATGTGCCTGTCGCACAAGCTGCCTGAGGGAAATGATCCCTGGGGAGGCCTCGGGGAGCCACACCCACCCTGGCCCCAACACCATCCCGGCCACCACTTCTGGGGGGTCCTGGCTTCAGACTTACATGACCTGGACGAAGCTGTCTCCTCTTCAGTTACACAGAGATGATCTCAGCACAGGTCCTGCCTAATGTTAGGCACTCAATCAGTACTGGTTTATGTTCACTCCTGAGGTTACATACAAGCTCTATAACCTTGGACTAATTTCTGGGCCTCGGTTTCCTTATCTATGAACTGGATCATTATAACACCAACCTCATAGGATGGCTTTGAGGAATCAGTAATTGAATGCACAGGAAATGCTGAGCACAGCGCTTTGCTTGCTCGGAATGTAAATCCCGTTATAATTCTTTATTTCCAGACTATTGCCTGGCGCTCAAGGAACCCACAAGCTCAGCATCAGTTAAGTAGCAATTCATAAGTTTAGAGCAGCATCCTCAATTGTATCCCATGGAATACTGTCCCAACAATTTTAACAGGAGGAAAAATGTCGCATGCCCAAAGATTTCTGGGTGGACCCAAATTAATTTTCTTCAGGTAGGACTTCTCAGAGCCTTTAATATGCCAACGGAAGTTGGCAATTAGAGAAAGGTAAGAGTAGGTGCAGTATTTCCCAGATTTTTGGCAACAGAATGCCTATTCTTTTCCCATGGGGGCACCTTGTGGGGCGTTATGTTCTGAGAAACCACAGGGATTGTGGCGTCTATAGCATTCTACTTATATCTGGGACAGCCCTGCTTTTCACATCAATTTCGTCGGGTCTGTTCTTTCACCTTACAGAAATTAATCCTTTATTGTTTAAGTTTGGTTTATTGGGTTAATACCAAAAAGTTCAACCAAAGGCCATAACTGAGCTTTGTTACAAACCCCAGACACTCATATTCAGCACTATTGAATTGCTAAGGCTGAGCAGGGAGGAAGCCTGTTGTAACTTTGGTATCAGATAGACCTGGATTCAAAAGCCAATTCTGCCATGTGCTCGTGTCATCCTAGGCCAGTGATGGCGAACCTTTTGAGCTCGGCGTGTCAGCATTTTGAAAAACCCTAACTTAACTCTGGTGCCGTGTCACATATAGAAATTTTTTGATCTTTGCAACCATAGTAAAACATTTTTGACATTTATTTTATATATTTAAGTGCCATTTAACAAAGAAAAATCAACCAAAAAAATGAGTTCACGTGTCACCTCTGACACACGTGTCATAGGTTCGCCATCAGTCCTAGGCCAATGGCTTCGTTTCCTCGAGCCTCAACTTGCTTAAAGTGACATGGGGCTGAGCGCTTCCCTTGCAGAGTGGTTCTGAGCATTACAGGAGACAGTGCAGGTAAAGCGCCCGTGCCCAGCACACAACAGCCGGCCAGCAGACATGCTCCTCCTCACATCTCTGCCTTATCTGTTCCCTCTATGGGGCACAGAACAGTCTATTAATTAGTTCTGCAGCGCTTCTTTTGTTCTAAAACCACCTCTTTCAAACCTCAAGGGCTCTCTGGTTCCTTGTGCTGGAGGAGGCTGAGGCATGGGAAGGCAGCTGGGCTTCCCCTCATTTCACACATGAGGATTTAATAGGCTTTGATCAGACTCCTCAGCCTTTATCTTCCCAAACTGAGGAGCCTCTGTCTTTCCCATTTGTCTCCCTATAACCCTCAGCCCAAGCGTGGGCCCTTCTCTGATCGTTGCAACAGCAAGATTACAGGAGAGTCGGGCTTTCGAGTTGGCAGATCTGGGTTCAAGTCCAGACCCTGACCCTTCCCGTATGACTCAGGGCACATCCCGTGACCTCTCAAAGCCTCCATTTCCTCAGCTCTAGGAAAACCTCATCTATTAACTGGCAGGATAGGCGTTAATTGGTGGACCACCGTGATACACCCGGCAGGCCCCCCACCAGCACACTGCTGTCTGAGATGCAGCTCTTCCCCAAACTCCTGAATGTGGCATTCCATGTCCCAGGGGCTTCTCCAGCCTCAACTCTTGCTAATCCCTCCCATTTGCCACCATTCCTGCCGGCAATCCCTTGTTATACCTGAAGAGTCCGCATTTTTCTGATTCGTAGCTGGGCCTCTGTCTGGTGACTTGCTTCAAGCCCACCTTCAATACTCGTCTGAAGCCCTTCTGAGCGGAACAACTCCCTCCGCGAGGCCATTACAGCCCCGAGCACCCTCGGTCACACCTGAGCCCACTAAACTGCCAAGGGCTGTGCTTGCCTCTCCCACGAGACTCCGTCCCTCTAGTTGTGTGGCCTGAGACGAGTCCCGTCACCTCACTTACCTAAGCTTCTTATAAAACAGATGCTAATCCTTGACGTTCAAGGAGATTCAGGTTTGTGAAGAGTCCCCACAGTGCCAGGCACAGAGCAGGCACCTGGGTCAGTGCTGGTTCATGAATTCAAGCAGTTCTAGGCGGCATCCCCCTGCCAGACCCCCAGCAATAGGAGTGGGTGGGTGTCAGTTACAAGCAGGGCTTGATCTGAAGGCGTGAGCCAGCTCCTTAGGACACCCCGTCGTCCCTCCCCAGAACCCCAGACAAGCTTCACAGACAGATGCCATGTGCAGGTTTCACATTTATTGGTTCAAATACAGTACCTAACATCTTCTAGACATGCATTTCACACTAATTGGTCACATTTCCACAGGTAGTCAACTCACAGAAAAGGGCCCATCCCTTGCCAGCTGGCAGGGGGGGAGGTAGCAGAGGGCCTGAGTAGCCTGCAGAGCCCGACTATCCTTTGGTCATGCAGGGCTGACGGAGCCGGGCTGGCAGGCAGCCCTTGGCCGGCCCTTTGGGGACAAGGGCTCAGAGACATCCGGTTTACTTGATTCCTACACGGACTGTGGGTAGGGGTGGCCCTGGAATAGGTAGCCCAGGTCGGCTTGTGGACGCCCGTGCCACCAGAGCCTGGTGGGAGGGTGGTGCTTCCTGTGCCCTGGATCGTAGACAGGAAACGGAGGCCTCTTCAAGAGGTGGCTGTTCCCAGCTGGGCAGGTGTGAAGGACTCCCTACACTCAGCCCAGACATTACAACGCGCCCACAGCCCCTATCACAGGCCTGGGATGGCAACACAGACAAAAACACCAACACCCCAGGGCAGGCAGGGTTTCTCTCCCGACAGAAACATGTAAACAGAACAGGAGCTACAGTATTCGTTTCCCACAGGACTTCTCGGAGAGGAATCGACCAGGATGTCACTGAAGAGGTAGTATTTTTTTTTCTTTTTCATGGAAACTTGAGTCAACAACATTATCACCTTATAAAACATTTCAGAGGAAGAAAACAATGCTCACCCAAGGGCAGAAATGACCTGGTGACAGACTGGCCATGCTGGCAAGGCTGGCTGCAGGACTTGGCAGACCGGCCTCCACCAGAAACAGCTTTTTTCTGGAGCTCGGAGCAGGCTCTGGCCTGACTCATAGCTTCCCTGAGCCTGCAGCTGAGTCCTGAGGGGGCTGTGGCCCATTTAGGGCTGCAGATCCTGAGGGGGCTGGCCAGACGGGCTGGACGGGCAGAGCAGGGCCCTGTGGCTCGTGTTCCGGGACAGCCAGTCTTCAGGCCTCGGGACGGCCTCGGACCAGAGCAGCCCAGCTCGCTCCGACTCAGTATGCTCACGGGGCTCCTGCCTCTGAGGAAGCAGCCACGCCTGGCTCCCAAGTCCAGAAAAGCTGCTGTTTGTGGCAGCCAAGAGAGGGGTTTCTGGGGACCCTGTAATTAAATACACATCCCTGAGCTATGGCCCTAGAAACCCTTGTCTCAAGACTAACCAGTTTCCAGCATCTGGTGGAATGATTGCCGTTTCTCAACCTGAGACACAGATAAAACATCATTTCACAGACACTGGACATAGATGCTTCAAGCCGAGGAAAAAGGGAGGAATGATCAACTGCAAAGGCAGAGGGGGGTACAGGGGACACTCATGTTGGAAAGAGTAGTGGTTTTTTTTGTTTAGTTTTTTGTTTTTGAGGGGTTTTTTTGTGGTTTTTTTTTTACTTTAAAAAAATCAATAAAGAAAATAAAAGAGCTGGTCTGAACGAGTGGATTTCTTAATGCAACTGCAAAATTTTAAAAAGCAACAAAGAAAAAAAGACATAGACCAGGGGCCCAGAGCTAAAGACTTGGAACCACTGCTCCCCTTCCTACCCTACTGGGAGGCCAGGGTCCCTTTACTTGGGCCAACCTTGGACATGGCGGAGATACTGCCCACGCCGGGCCTGTCTGTCTCCATCTGTCCCACTCCCCAGGAAATCAAGAACAAACTGAAGTAAGAAATAGGTAGCAGAGCAAGGCAGCTAGCTGAGGCCCCAGGTTTAAGGACCCGGTGACACAGTGGCCATGGCAGCACTCACTTCCCTGAGAAGGGGGTGGCAGGTGAGAGCAGGCTGGTGTGGAGTGGGTGGCTGTCTGCATGCCATGAAGCCCCTCGTTCCCTCCCCCTCCTCTGCCCCGAGAACAGGAGGGAGGTTCCTGCTGCTGCTTTCTATCCCCACAGGCTCAGCCACCTCCCTCCTGGGCTGGGCATGGGGGCAGGGCTGTCCTGAGCCAGGTGGAGTGCTTTGAGACTAAAGTCAAGACCACCAAACCTTGTGAAAGTCTCCAAAAGCCTACAAAGGAGCCAGAGAACAGGAGTTGTAGGCGAAATTCCACGATTCCAAATTTCGTCTTGGGTCAGGAAAACATTGAAAGGGAAAGGAAGGGGAAAGCCGTGTTTCAATGCAGTGCGAGGAGGTGGGATTCTCCTTGACCACACAGCTTTCAGGGTCATATTTTTATGGTGGAAAAATTCTCACTTAAAATGAGTGCTGTTGGTGGCAGGGGATCAGAGAGAGGACAGAAGAGAGGGGAATTAAGAGACCATACACACAACTTTTTCTTCTTCCACTAGCAAAAAGGCTACCTGTTAACCAAAAATTATGGGAAGAAAGGCAAAAATACAAACACAACAAACCGCCCCTCCAACCTTTCTCTGTGTCCTTCAAACCAAATTTACAAATACATTTAGTGGCTGACCTAACGTCTCCACGCTGCTAGCTACACTCCTATCATCTCCTCATCATACCTGAGTTTGCAATGCAACACATTAATTTTACCCTGTTTAAAAAGCCCACGTCACAAAAGGACTGGGCGCAGAAGACATTAAAGGCGGTCCACAGGTCAGGCTCTGGCTCAGAACACACGGCCACTTGGCTCAGAGATTCTGTAGGGCGCTCGGCAATGAATGGGCTCTTTGTTCTGTGGAATCTGCTGCAAACATTTGTAAAAATGGATTTGTACAATGGCAACTTGCAGAACCTTTCCCCCACTCCACAAATTAACAACTTGCTCTGTTTAATGCCGCATTATTGGAGAGACATGTTCTTCCCTCATCAGAGAGCAATTTTCTTTGATACCCAACCAACTGGTAAAATGCTTAATTTTAAAGAAAAACCATTTCAAAAAATAATAACTTGACAGATGGAGGTCTAAGCAAAGAAAGAAGCTGCACACAGCAGCCATCTTGGAAAAGGGGGGTGTCTGATATGTGTCTCCTCCCTACATTGACGAAAGCAGCTCAGAGTCTGACCTGTAGCCAAAGAATGTGATCTAGTTGGTTAAATAAAACATGGGGAAATAAAAATATTGTGAACTGAGAAATAAACAGATACACACACACACACACACACACACACATCTTCCCATTGACATGTGAGAACATTCTGATCAGAGCTTTTCCAGAGGAACACATCTTTCTTTCTCAGAGCAGTCAGGGAAAGGGCATTGAGGAGTAATGCTCTGAGTTTTAGATCCACCAAAGGACAAAGTCATCCCTCTGCTGGGTACCCGTAACATTTCACTGGAAAGAAAAATTACAATCCGACATAGACTGCCCGGGCTGCACACGAGGTGGTGGCCCACCGGGCAAGTTTGCAAGGCTGAGCTGGGAAGAGAGCAAATGGCCTTTGACTACACAGGCAAAAGGAGGTTCAGGAGGCCCTGCAAGCCCACCCAGGGATGCACCCCTCTCAGCAGTCAGCCTGCTGCATCAGCTGGGCGAGGTCCCTGGGTGGAGGCAGGGACAATCGCTGTGGGAAGGCAGAGAAGAGAAAAGCACCTGAAAGAGCTCCAACAGCTACGGGGTGGCTGCTGGCCAAAGCCAAGAGGGGAAGGGACACTTCCTGGGACCAGGTGGGGCAGGTAGTGAAAGAACAAGGGCCCAGGCCATAGTCTGGAGGGGACAGCCCTTAAGAACATGAGGTAGTTTAAAGCGCCCCTTCCCCGCCAGGCCGTGGTCAGCTGGGCCACTCTGGGCCTTGGGCTTTCTGTTGAGGAATCCTGGTCTCATTCTGGAGATTAGAAGAACTTGGAGAGGAATGTAAGGGCAAAAATTCTGGTGGGTCAATGGCCCTCCCTGATGAAAAAAGAGACGGCAGGTTTGGATTCAGTCCCGGGTGGGAAAGGGGGAGAAGCAGAGCACCCCAAAGGAGGAGTGTCTATTCTTTGAGCAGTCTGAACTTCGTTCCACTGCCCCTTGAAGAAAGCAAGGTGACAGGAAAATGCATCAGTAGTGGGCACCAGAATTCAGAGCATGGCATTCTGCTTAGCTGTTTTTTTCAGAGGGCCAATAGGAAGTCAAATGTATAAGGGAGGCAAGGAGTCGAAGGAAGGTAGGCCTTGGTAGATCCAGGTAAGGAAGCTAGGTAGCTGGAAGTCCCAGCGGAGCTGGCAGGCAAGTCCAAAGGATGACGTGATTGCCAGGACTTTGCTTGGATGAAGTCAGCAGTGGCAGTGGTGGGTCAGGTGGTGGGGAGAGGGCCCCACAACATGGTGTGCGAGCAGAAACCCTTCTCCCTGAGGCCTTGTGTGGAGAGAGGACACCTAACTTAAGATTTGGTTGCTGTGCCCCATTCTCAATTTTCATGCTTTCCAAAGGAAAGAGATGTTCTACATCCTCCTCTCCTGCCTGGGGCCCCCACTTTGCTCAGAGAACCTCCTGGCACCACTTCGCCCTTTTATGGTGTGTGCTTTCACCTGGCAATTCTGTGGCTAGAAAAAGGCAGTTTGCTCTCTGACAGACAAATGCACGAGTCTGCTGAGAACATGTGGAAAAAGGAGGCATGGTCACACCCCTCCCTTTCCACTGAGGTAGTCGTCTTTGTCAACATTATGGAAATAGTCATCTCAGCCCATCCCACCCACCCTCAAATTACAAAAGAACTATCTCTAAACAATGACAACACTGTTACATTAAACATCTTCACATTCTGTAAACCGCAAGGAAATGCATCAGCTGCATTCACACAAAAGCATGTGCATCATGTTGAAGGCCATACATTCAACTCTGTCGTGAAATAAATATATAGAAAAATGAGCTTAAAAAAACAGACAAACAAACAAACACTCTTCTTGCTATGGAGGCAACCGGAACGCTGCTGCCCCCATAGCCTCCACCTTGGTCTCTCTGGCTCTTTCTTCTGGAGCCTGTCCCACCCACCCAAGGCTTTGTGCTGGCCTGAGGAGGGGTGCCGGGAAATGCAGCACCACCTTAAAGAGGAGGGGCAGCTGCTCCAAGGGCACATTCACCATTTTTCCTGGGGACAAAGTGGGAAGAGAAGAGTTAGCAGTGGCCGCTAGCGGAAGAGCATGTCCCTCTAGTTGGGCTGGAGAGCAGACGTGGCCTTTTTGAGTGACTAGGGCAAGGAAAGTACAAGGAGTATCACAAAGACACAGACTGGCTAACATCCTGATACCTAGGCCCATTTTAGGGCCCGAGGTGAAAGTTATAATCATTGTTATTATCCAGGGAATACTTACTCTGTGCTGGGTGTTTAAATGCATCATTTCACTTAATTCTCACGCTATTTCTGTGCGACAGATATTACCTTTTATCCCTATTTTACAGGTGAGGAATCTGAAACTGAGAGGGATTCCTAGATGTCCTCTTAAAGCCAAAATACCATGAGAAACTTATATCCTGTTTTCTCTTTTTTCCTGATGGACGCTATCATTCTATAAAAATTGCTCTTCAGAGTAGTATAATGGGTTAGTAAAAGTACTGAGAAATCCAGGGTTAAAAAGGACCTACAGGTTTCTTTACTGGAGGCCTTCTCAGAGCACTTGGTGTGCTAATGTACACTATAAATATTGGGCTGTGGTTCTCCTGGACGCACTGAGAGTCACCTGAGGAGTTAAAAATACTGATGCCCCGGCCCCCTCATACCCACGGAATCAGGCTCTCTGGCGGTGTAACCCAAGCTCGGATATGTCCTAAAAGCTGACCACCGAGCCCAAGTGCTGCCAGGGCTGAGAAGCTGGCTCTGTGGGGAGGGGGGTAATTACTACTCCCCATTTATTTAAGAGAGCGCTTGATGAATATCTCATTTGGTAGAATATCACTTTGAAAATGCTGAGACATAAATATCAAAACATCCTTAAAATTCTAACAGCTGAGCTCCAGTTCACATCTGTAGATTACTCTGGGCCCAAAAAGTAGAATAATTTCTACTAAAATAGTAGAATAATGTCAAACTGAAAAATTTTCCCTTCAAACTGGTGCTGCTGAAGGTGACAGGAGCGAGCTCTGTCTAGAGCTCCACCTCTGAGCACCGCCAGTCAGTGCTGGTGACTACAAACGACAATCTCTACCAACGAAGCCGAGCAGCAGTGACAACCAAAACCAGGCCTTCACAGCTCAGTGGCTTATTAAATATCAAACTCAGCAGGGTAAGACCACAAAACACCAACAAAAACTCCTTTACAAACACAGGATTTGAAAATTATTTTAAAGATATTGCTTTAAATGAATGATCCCCTAAAAATCTATAGGCAATTCTATGAAACAAAGTTAATGTTTAAAATCGAGATATAATTCACATAAAATCCACCCTTTCACAGCTTACAATCCAGAAACAGTTAACTTGAGAAACTCCGAGTCATAATATCACCAACCACCAGCCTTGCAGAGCGTGTTCTGAGGTTCGGTGATAAAGGCCACAAAGCACCTTGCACAGCATAGGTGTGAGGAAGTGCTAGATCCTCCTCCCTACAGAGAAAACTCACGCTTCTCGTTACAACGCGGACTGAAACCGAGGGCAAGGGTAGTACTGCTTTTATGCAGTTGGTCTTGGGCCTGGAATGAGGATCTGAAAACACTGCTTGTCTCATTCTCTTCACAAGCTAAGGGAAGCAAGGAAGGGTTGGAAAGCCAGCGCCCAGAATGTTACCTGCAATATACCGAATCTCAGGTAAGCACATCATGAGGTCAGGAAAGCGGTTCGGCTGATGGGTGTATTTATATTCAGTGAAATCCTGGCAGATGTACCAGTATCGCTTGTTCAGCTGCTCCAGCTGTGAGGCACTGGTCAGACCCCTGATATCTGGGAAGAGAACCACACAGGATATGAGAGTGTTTTCTAATGTGGAGGAAATACCAACTCCTTGAATAGATACATATTTCAGTTAGAAGTTATTAAACATTGCCACATAGAGGATCTGTTCTCTTTTTGACATGGAGGAACAAAGTTCTAAATGAGGGGAGAGAAGCAGATAAAGAATAAAAAATATACAGGACAATCACTAGACTGAGCCCCCTGAGAACTAAGTGGTATCTTTCTCAACTTCATACCTGGCTTCCCAGTACAGGGCTTGAAACAAATAGGCACCAGTTGATGCTGAACCACTCACTATCTGACAATCTACCTTTCCTAATTTATCCTTCACAGTATCTTTAAATTTGCCCTTTGCTGGAGCCAATCAGGAACTTCGATGACACCCAGACATTTATGCTTGTATGTATACTCACATGGTCTCCTGGGTTTCTGCTCATACTACTCTAGACAGAGTTCTCTCTCATTTCTTTAAACACACACACCTAACCCCTTTTTTTATATATAGATATCCTATATAATATATATGGATATCCTATATAATAAAAGGGTAATATGCAAATTGACCCTAACAGCAGAACAACTGGTCGCTATGACGCACACAGATCACCAGGGGGCAGACACTCAATGCAGGAGCTGCCCCCTGGTGGTCAGTGCGCTCCTACAAGAGGAGCGCTGCTCAGCCAGAAGTTGGGCTCCCGGACTGTGAGAGGTCGCAGGCTGGGCTGAGGGACCCCCCACATCCAGAGTGCATGAATTTCGTGCACCGGGCCTCTAGTTCTACATATAAACCCTTCCCAGCCTTTGAGGCCCAACTAGAATTCTCCTCCTCCAAGTAGGTGCTACTTCTCTCTCCCAATCTGAGGCTCCAGTAATGTGTCACATGCCATCAGAGTATATTCTTAAAGCCAGGAACCTGGAATCTATTTTATTTTTCAATGTCTTTAATGGTCACCACAGGGTCTGGCCTCTGGGAGGCACACAGATCAATGTACGAATGGTGCAGAAGCAGGAGGAGGTGTTGGGGGCGGGGAGGGGGGCAGTAAGCAAAGAGGAGGGCCAAGAATCTCTGGACGGGGCAACTGACTATAAACAGAGCACTTCAATGTCACAGGCAGCAGAAGAGCCCAGCTCTACTCAGAGCAGAGCACTCGCACGCTGCTTTGGAAAAAAGAGAACACAAATTCTCCTTTGTACTCTGCTTACCAGCAGCTACCAAGCCACACTTAGCAGGTAATACTCCACGTTAATCACATCCAGCACACTTCCCGTTAAAAGCCATGTTTGATGTGTGTGTGAGCTTTGGTGACCCCACTCTGCCCGGATGGGGACTCAGAAGCCTGTCGCAGAGCCTTATCTCCAATAGGTGCATCCGTCACTCTGCTCTTCCTCAGTCACTGGCAAACTTGGTACATATTTTAAATGACGCATGTACTGTCCTTGGTGTCTGCATTGAATGCATTGAAAATGACTAAACAAAGCGAATCCTCTTCCTTCTGCTATGAGTTATAGAGACTGTGGCATTTAGGTTTGAAGAAGAAACCCAAAGCATGCCCTGCACTACAGAGGGGCACAATGCTGATAGGCCCTCAAAGACTGGTACCCATAAGGGGTGTCACATTCTGTGTGATAGTCCTGAGGGGAAAGGGGGACATGAAACGTAAGGGAAAATGTTCACTGGCAAAAAAGAAAAAAAAAAAGAAAAAAGAAGGGCCCCTTCTTCACACACCCAAGCACTCACCTTGATTTAAGAAGTTAATTGCTTTCATGCAAGCATACTCCTCATTGCTGACCTTTAGCTGATGGAACTTGTGATACAGGTAGATGAGCCGCTCGATCACCTCCATCCCTTCATCACTGAATCTGGGGACAGACACAGGTGTTAACAGTGGGCTCTGATGCCAGCAGAGGTCAGGCCAGGGAAGGCAGGTTTCTGACAGCTCTGTAAGGCATCTGACATAGGAAAGAGGCCGAGCTCGGGAGAAATGGAATCCAGAACTATTAGTGAAGAACAGGGGATCCCTGGTTTGTCTAGAGGCCACGCAAGGCAGCTCATACAAGCTGTTATTCCTAAAGTCAGATAGGGTCGATCAAATCTAAATCCAGTTCCATCATGTAAAAGCTATGAGACCTTGGCCTGGCCGGGTGACTCAGTTACTTGGAGCGTCATCCTGTACACCAAGCATGTCAAACTCAAAGGCTAACATGGCCAAATAAACAAGGTTTAAGTTTATGTGGGCCACAAAAAAACAAAAGCTTCAATTTTCATAGAAACGTAGGTTTATTTTGATAGAGACGTGCTGAATATAAAGGGCTGAAATAAATAATTGTTAACATAAAATAATAGAACATTTTAATAAAAATTAATATTTAGCCATTAGCGAATGTTGTAGTTCATTATTAATAATTATGTATAACGACATTGTAAAAATTAAGTTATGAAATTTTTATTAAAACATTTCTTATATATCGTTATATTGGCTGGGCCGCAAAAATATTTGTTGTGGGCTGCAAGCGGCCGGCAGGCTGCGAGTTTGACATGCTTGCTGTACACCAAAAGGTTGTGAATTCAATTCCTAGTCAGGCCACATACCTAGGTTGCAGGTTTGATCCTTCGTTGGGGCATGTATGGCAAACAACCAATAATGTTTCTCTCTCACATAGATATTTCTCTCTCTCTCTCCCTGCCTCTCTCTAAAATCAATAAAAGCATATCCTCAGGTGAGGATTAAAAAAAAAAAGCTCTGACCCTTAGAAAGTAATTTGACCCCTCTAAACTTTGAGGCCCTCCTCTGTACAATAATAGTGCATGCCTGCTCAGGTAACAAGGGACAAAGGAGTTTGGGATGTAAGTGTGGAGAAATATGACATCATTAATATACTGCTACTATTGAGATGCAGCTTCAGTTTCAGTGGCAGCTGCCTTGTGACTATGCGAGCCTCAGCCACAATGTAGAAAAAGCTGCTGATTGTATTAATGTAGGTTCACTGTTTCCAGCAGGGCTGAGGGTATGCACAGTGACATGTTTTATTGGCATCCTTGACTTCAGCTAGGGAGGGAGGGAAGCGTTAACTGAGCCTCCGTGCCAGGCCAGTCTCTGTGCTAGCACTTTGTGTGCATTATCTCATTTAACTTTCTTAGGCCCACAGGTGAGATGAGATTATCATCACCCCTGTACAGATAAGAAACTGAAGTTCAAAGAATAGAGGGGACTGGTCCACAGCATGCAGCTAGGTGGTGGCAGAACTAGAACTTGGAACCGGGACCAATTTCCCAAGGCCTTGGTTTTTCAGGTATCTAAGGTGACATCCACTAGCAGAGAAGACTCAAAACTCCTTTCTTTACATTAAGCATAAGCTCCCTGAGGAAAGACCAAGTTTTAGGCAAAGGGGAGCCAGGATAGGGGACTAATACCCTGGTCATAGAGGGAAATATATATATTTATATGCCTAAGTGACCTTTACAACCTGTCACTATGATACGCACTGGCTACCAGGGGGCAGGCGCTCAATGCAAGAGCTGCCCCCCTCGTGGTCAGTGCGCTCCCATAGCCAACCCCCCCCCCCCCCCCCCCCGCCCGGTCCCTCCCACTGCCGGCCAGCCCTGATTGGGACTGGGCAAGTCGGCTGAGGAACCACGCCAGTGCACGAATTCGTGCACTGGGCCCCTAGTGTCTCATAACAGAGATGGAAATATCACCAAACCAAGGAGGGGAAGGCATAATGGGAAAGCCAGTGTTTATGAAAACTGGGGTCAGGCCAGCCTCCACCCTTCTAGAGATGGGCTGGACTGTGGGCCAAGGAGCATTCCAGACAGGTCTTAGATGCATCTCAGCCACAGAGATGCTCAGCCTAAGGCTGCTTCCTGGTAATTGTGTTCAGATCTGGTACTGAACATAATCATACAGCCCCATGCAAGGCAAGAAGGTCCTAACTGGGAAGGGTCCAGGACACCTGGGGATGTACTATTACTTTCTGCATTGACTTTGTAGGCTTTGCAAGGGATTGGCTTCTGGAGCAAGCCGACCATTTTTCTTCCCTGGGGAAAGCCTGGCTCTGGTTGGGGCCAGCGGCACCTGCACTTCTCAAGCACCAGGGGGAGCCGCAGCAGCAGCTCCTTCCAATTGGATCTCTGACCCTCAACCTCGAGGTTAGGCTCCTTGTCAGTCTGAGCTGGTGTTTCTTTCAGTCTGCTGATCTCAAGTTCGATGGCTGACTCCATTTCTCTCTGACCCAACGGCTTTTATGACTTTATGATATTTTCCCAGACTGCTGATAAGGCAAATTTACTAGGTGTACCAGTTAATAATGCGGACTTTTTCAATACTAGTATATTGAATAACCACTGTAAATAAGCGTATCTACCACTGCAATTTGTTGATTGACTGCTACTTGCCAGGCCCTTTGTTAAATAGTCTACATATGTTATTCCAGTGGATATTCCCAACAAACTCCCAAAATAGATGCTAATGTCTTCCTTGTTCACAGTGGAAACAAAGGATCAGAGATTACTGCATTCTTACATTTTACCCTCCTAACAACCTGTGAGGTAAGTAATATCACCTCAAGTTTGGGGAGAAGAAGCAGGAGAGGTACCTTCCCCAAGGTTACACAGTAACTAACTAAGGGGTGGTGGGCCAAGGTTTAAACCCAAGTTTTCTAATTCCAAACCTGCCATTTTCTCAGCACTACACTGTCTACTCCCTGACTGCCTTGCTCTTAACTGGTAACTACCACAGGGCCTCTGTGTTCCCACAGGAACTCAGGCAGGGCTCCACCCAGAACTGCCTTGCAGGGCTTCCGTGATGCACTGTGCCCAGGAGTGAGGATCCTTCCTCATCACAGTACTTGGTTGGTTACTTCTGTTCTGGGGAGGAAAAGGTCTTTAGTGCAAACTCCCTCTAGTATCTGCTTGGAGGGGTGAGGCAGGGATGGCATGGGGTAGGGTATAAAAAAGGGGGGGGGTGTGGGCTGAGCACCAGTGTCAGCATCTGTCTGGTGGCCAAGCAGTGTAGCAAGCAAAGATAACCCCCGCCCTCAATCAGCAACCTCTTGCCCCAAGGGCTCACTCTGGCATTACAGCACCTGCAGGTGTGTGGCTACCAGCCAGACCCCTAGCCAGGAGCGCCAACCTGGTTCCTGGCCGAGTCTTGAACTAAGAGACACAAAGGAGCTCCTGAGTGTCTGGCCTGAGCATATGCCCCAGCTCTGCCCTTTCTCTCGGGGAAAGCACATATCTCTTTTCCAAATTTCTTAGGACCAGCTACCACCATGGACCTGCAGCAGTGGTGGGGAATGGCAGCCAGCCCAGCAGCCCCCACTCACTATCCACAGCCCAACTGCAAAGCTTTCCTCCACACCCGCATCCCACCCCTTGATAAACAAATTGTTCTCTGTTTCATGGGCCGCCTTTCTCCTGCAGCCGTGCCTCCTCCACATCTGCCCACTCCACAGTTCTAACGCCCCTGTATTCCCTGTCTACAAATTATCAGCATTCAAAGCCAGAAAGTTGGACAAAAACACCCATTCTTCTTCTGGGTTCCCATTACACAAGCATGCGAGGACAAGGAAAACATTCCTGTCAGGATCCCCCAAACCACTGGACCATTCAGTCAGCAATTGAAGCTGACACTATATAAGTTATGTCCCATTAAGGGGCGGAGAGGCCAGCTGTCTTTTTCATTCATCTAAAAGCACCTAACTCCCGGGAGCAGTCACCAGCCACAACCTTAGAGGAACTGCCTGTGAGCACCCACACAGACACAGGAGCAAAAGTAAGACTGTAGCTCCAGGACACACCCCAGAAAGTCACACTATTGAGAAGGTTAATGAACTTAGTATAGGGTAATGGCAAAGAGCCTGGGCTTTGGAGCACAACAGATTTAGGTAATAATCTCAACTCCAGCTCTCTCTAGCTTCCTAGCCTTGAGTTTTCACCTCTCTGAACCTCATCTGGGAAACTGGAATACTATTGGTGCAACCTCTTAGGGTGGTGTGAGGACTAAAATATGTTGTAAAATATGTTTGTAAGATGGAATTTGGCACAATCAACAGCCTATAATTCTTAACTATTACCATTATTAATAGCATCAGCATCAGTGCTCCCATGATCGCAGCAAAAAGAAAAGCGTGTGTTTCCGGAATGTTATAGCCAGGGTCTGAGCAGGGAATCTGGGAGGGGCCGCTAGTGCTCCTGAGATACAAGTGCCCATTAAGGCCCATCTCATGCAAGGCATCTTCTCGTGAGAGTGAAGGAGTCTTGATTAGGGCCGGGAGCAGTCACTGGCTGGTGCTACAATCTGCTTTAAATCAAATTCACCCAGGCTCACTGTCTGATAACAGCCTGATTAAGGAAAATGGGCACCATAAATTTGATTCAATATTTGAGAAGAGAAAAGGAGGTGGTCATGCATCATCTGGGAAAAGCCTTTTCATGACAGCAGGAACTCACTTGCACTCAAGTTGTGCAAAAGTAAAGGCATTTTGGGGGAGTGGGATAGCGCAGAAGCTGGCAAGGTAGGAAAGAGCTATGGCCAATTATAGATGCCACACCCTGGGTTTCTAGCAGAGAGGGGACTACTTTACAGTGATGACCTTGATTCCAGAGGTTCTCATGGCTCCATTTCCTCTGACCGCTTGGGCAGTTCCACATGCATCTCAGATTCAACAGACCCCAAATCAAATTCAGAGTGGCTCATCTCTCAGCCTGTTCTGCTCAGGCTCCATCATCTTGGCTAAGAGACTGGCAGTATCCCCAACTTCTTTGCTCACTGAAGTCCCACTGACTTTGCCTCTTTGCCATTCTCGGACTGCGCTGCACCATCCCCATAGTCCCTGCTGCCTTGCCCAGGCCTTGCTTTCTTTCCCTGGGCTAAGGAACAGCCTCCCACCCAGCCACCGTCCTATTGCCTTGTCCATACCAATCCATCCTGAGCTTTAGTCAGAGCTTCCTAAAATGCAACCTGACCATATAATTACTCCACTTAAAAGTACCCTATGACTATCTCTCTCTCTCCCAATATTTTCGGGGGGGGGGGGCAACCAAAATTTTTGGTGGCCTTAAAAAAAAAGTATCCTATGACTTAATACTAACCATTTACACAATAAAATCCAAATTCTTTAGATTGGCATTTGAGCATCTTTATGATCTGTCTTTTCTGTACCTTTCTTTCCAGTGATTTCTTCCCTCATTACTCTGTGCTCAAATACATTCTCTCTACACCCTAATCCACAGGACTGCTTTGGGCTCCCTGAACAAAGCAACTATCCAGGACCGCAACTGATAGGACTTTGCTTTACTGTCCTCCTTCCTCCTCGTCTCTATAATCTACCAAGAAAAATCACACTTAAAGATGCAGCTCAAATGTCTTTTCTTCTGGGAGCATTCTTTGATAAAGCAAGTAGAGGACTTACTCCCTACAGATTCCTCTTTGCTTCCAGCCCAAGTCTCGGCTTGTCTTTTTGCCATGTGATTGAGTGTGCCGGAGGGAGGTGCACCCCAGTCCTGTGTAGAAAAGTGTGGGAACTGGACCTCTCTCCAGCTTTCATTGACGAGGATATCTTTTCTTCCCTCTTTCTTGGTGCTCTGGAATCCTAGTCTATGCTTGTACACTATCTTCACTTGCCCCTCAAACTCTACCAGTATCCCCCGAGATTATAGACTGTATCTGCTCTGTGTCTCTCAACCCCCTATACCAAGAATAGGGGCTCTCACCTCAGAGTCCAAAACCACGTCTGCATCATCTGTAATTCCTACACTCCTCCCCCAACACACAGTAGGTACTCAGTAAATGGGTGTGGAATCAGAACTAACATGTTGCAGTTTAACTCGATTTTTTTTTTCCATTGAAGGCTTCCATAATTGAGTAAGAATCCTAACAACAAATCTATTTCTTATCCTTGAACCCACTTGAGAGCTCAGCAGCAACATGTATTCGAGTCAGCACTGTTCAACAGAACTTTCCGTGGTGACGAAAATATTCTATATCTGCACTTTCCAAAATAATAGCCACTGGTGCCGAAACCGGTTTGGCTCAGTGGATAGAGCGTCGGCCTGCGGACTGAAAGGTCCCAGGTTCGATTCTGGCCAAGGGCGTGTACCTGGGTTGCAGGCACATCCCCAGTGGGAGATGTGCAGGAGGCAGCTGATCGATGTTTCTCTCTCATCGATGTTTCTAACTCTCTCTCTCTCTCCCTTCCCCTCTGTAAAAAAATCAATAAAATATATTTTTAAAAAAATAGCCACTGGTGACATGTGGCTATTGAGCACTTGAAATTGTGACGAGTGCAAATAAAGAATTAACTTTTTAATTTTAGTTAACTTCAGTTTAAAAAGCCATCTGAGATTAGCAGTTATTACTACTGGACAATGTAGCTCTAGATTCTCCTTGGTAAGGACCCTTCCTAGGAAATAAACATTTCCTCACTAACTCAGCTGTCACTGGCCCCTCCCTTGCTCTTGAGGTACAAGGAATTGGATACAGTGGAATGGAGTGCATTATGAAACTCAAAGCCACAGAGAGCCCTGCATGACCAGTGATCCCTGCCTACCTGCAGAAGGCCTAGGAAAACCCATCACTCTAGAGCAGCGGTTCTCAACCTGTGGGTCACGATCCCTTTGGGGGTTGCATGACCCTTTCACAGGGGTTGCCTAAGACCATCAGAAAACACATATATAATTACATATTGTTTTTGTGATTAATCACTATGCTTTAATTATGCTCAATTTGTAATAATGAAAATACATCCTGCATCAGATATTTACATGACGATTCCTAACAGTAGCAAAATTACAGTTATGAAGTAGCAACGAAAATAATTTTATGGTTGGGGGTCACCACAACATGAGGAACTGTATTAAAGGGTCGCAGCATTAGGAAGGTTGAGAGCCATTGCTCTAGAGGGAGTAGAACCCCCAGACTCACTTTGTAGACAATCCCAGGATGCACTGGTGGATTCCAGACAAACTGGGGACAGGGCTTGCTTGGTCAGCTCTGCAACCCTGATATATTAGAGCAGGCTAACTGCTATCCAAACACTCAGTCAGCCCCAAGTTACAGAGCAGGAGATAGGAATCTGTTGGAAACAATGAATTAGAGGCTCAAGACAAGGGGTTAGGTCATTTTCAAAATCAGATGTATCTTTTTACAGGACAAAGTGTCAGCTGGGTTCAAAACTATGCCATTTATAGATCATTCTGAAGCCAGTAGGCATCACTAAAAAGGAAATATTAGAAAACAGGGAAGATAGTCAACACTCCCTCCCTCTGCTGTGCACAGGGCTTGAGGGGGTTGGAGCTTTGCTTTCAGCCTAAGTCTCAGCTTGTCTTTTTGTCACATGATTGAGAGGGAGATGCACCCCAGTCCTGTGTAGAAAAGTGTGGGGACTGGAACCCTAATCTCTCTAGCTTTCATTGATGAGGACATCTTTTCTTCCCTCTTTCTTGGTGCTCTGGAATCCTATGACTTCCATTATTTTAAACTAGAGGCTTGGTACTCAAAATTCATGCAGTGGGCAGGGGGTGGGGGGTGGTGGAGCAGGAGTTCCCTCAGCTTGGCCTGTGCCCTCTCGCAGTCTGGGGCTCTCATAGTCCGGGGACCCTTGCTCCTTACCGCCCGCCTGCAGCAGAGGCAGGAGAGGCTCCCACCACTGCCGCTGCGCTTGCCAGCCGTGAGCCCGGCTTCTGGCTGAGAGGTGCTCCCCCTGTGGGAGTGCACTAACCACCAGGGGGCAGCTCCTGCATTGAGCATCTGCCCCCTGATGGTCAGTGCACGTCATAACAACCTATCATTCCACAGTTTGGTCAATTTGCATATTAGGGTTTTATTATATAGGAGGATTGTCCAATAAAGGTAAATTATTAACATGTCTTTTTAAGCTTTATTTTTATTTTTTTTTTAAACATATTTTATTGATATTTTACAGAGAGGAAGGGAGAGAGACAGAGAGCTAGAAACATCGATGAGAGAGACATCGATCAGCTGCCTCCCGCACATCCCCCACTGGGGATGTGCCCACAACCCAGGTACATGCCCCTGACCGGAATCGAACCCGGGACCCTTCAGTCCGCAGGCCGACGCCCTATCCACTGAGCCAAACCGGCTTCGGCTTAAGCTTTATTTTTCATATGGATAAACTAATAAGCCAGAAAATTGTATCAACAGATCTCTTGTCCTGATTTTGGGTGTCACCATGTGATCCAGGTCTCCAGAGTAAGTAAAAGACCTGCTCTACACAGGGTGGTTAGAAGGATCCTGGCTAGCTGGGATGAGACTTCATGCTAGAAAACATTGAGAAGAACCAACAGTCTCCCAGTCCCATGTTCTTATCATCTCACTGCATCTCAGATGCAGTAAAAGAACCTAAGCATTACACAGGCACAGGTTCAAATCCAGGCTCAGGATTCAAACCCAAAACCTTCAAGGGCAGGTCTCTCTGAACTTTATTTTCCTCATTTATAAAACAGGCATAACCATACCTATCATGCTGGAGGCTGTGACAAACACGGAAGACAATCACATAAAGTGCCAAGCCCAGTGCCTGGCACACAGTAGGTCTCACTCTCCGATTGTAAATTATATCTCAGAGCCTCTCACTTTATAAGCAAAGTTTAGATTTTTGTTTCTCCCAGAGACATGATCTTACCTCAGTAATCCAGATGTGATAAAAATAACTTAGCACTATGCTAAGCTTGGCTGCACAATATCATTTATTCCTCAGAACTACCTTGTAGGGAGATTGTAATTATCCCATTTGTTATCTGTATGATTATCCTATTCTATAAATTCAGGACCTGAGGATCAGAGACTTGACCAAGGTCAGAAAGCCGGTCAGTGGCAGAGTAGGGCTGTAATGCTCATCCTTTGGAGCGCCAGGCAAGCCTACTGCCTTGTAGGGATGACAATGGTTTGGTTGTTTGGGAACTGCTCCCCAGCAGCCCTCACCTGTGTAATTCTTCATCAGAGGGTGAATACTTGGCAGTGACATCAGCCAGCTCCCCAAAGATCTGCTTGCTGTAAACGGTGAGGGAGGACAGCAGGATTAATTCCTGCCATGTAGAGCTCAGGAGGCACGTGTAATCCTTGATTGAGAGCTCGCAGAAGAAAGGCAGTTTCTTGATCCAGGCAATCTGCCTGAAGAGCAGCTCGTCAGCCAGGCGGCAAAGCAGGGCAAACAGCTCCGCCTGGGTCACAGCATATCTAAGGTGTAGAGACAGAGGAAAGTCACTTCCAGTGGCCAGAGGGTGAGGAAGGGGGCACAGGGAGAAGGAACTCCTAGGGCACAGAGGGCACAAAGGGGGCTGGCAGTGGGCTCCTTGCCTATCCCCGTGAGTCTCCAGCTCCATTCAATTCAGTCTATAAAGGGGCAGGACCGGGGCCAGCAGCAACCTCAGGGCCAGAGAGGCAGTTTTGTGAGAAAAGGTTGCTGGGGGGGAACGGAGGCTTAGAAATGTGTGCAGTTACCAGGGATTATGACTTTTAATGTTGGCGTCTACTAATGCTTCATGTGTTAGAGAAAATTCCCAGTCACTCCTGCACTATTTTGGTAATGAGGGCTCCAGCTCCATTAGGGGAATCTGGTGCGCACCTAATACAGTCTGGCAGAAAAATAAGCCTGGTGCCAAATGGCTGAGAAAGACCAGAACAAGTTCCGAAGCTTTTCCTGCTCTCACTGCACCCCCTGGTGGTGAAAGTTCAGGCACTAGAGCAGTGATTCTCAACCTGTGGGTCGCAACCCCTTTGGGGGTTGCATGACCCTTTCACATGGGTCGCCTAAGACCATCGGAAAACACATATATAATTACATATTGTTTTTGTGATAATCACTATGCTTTAATTATGTTCAATTTGTAACAATGAAAATACATCCTGCATATCAGATATTAACATGACGATTCCTAACAGTAGCAAAATTACAGTTATGAAGTAGCAACGAAAATAATTTTATGGTTGGGGGTCACCACAACATGAGGAACTGTATTAAAGGGTCGCAGCATTAGGAAGGTTGAGAACCACTGCACTAGAGTCAGAGTTGCTCAGCCCTTCTAAGCTAAGGCAGGAAGGAAAGAGCAGGACATTTCTCAGCTCTGGGCCAGATGACACGGGGGTCCCAGTGTGCTTTCTCTCAAGGCCCCTTGGCATGACTCTTCCCCACACCCACATGTACAGATTTATAAATTTTTTTGTGTGGCCTTCTTCTAGGGAGAGATTTGAATTTCCTCTTTGAAATTAGAGACTAGCTTAAGAAATCTCAGGCCGAAACCGGTTTGGCTCAGTGGATGGAGCGTCGGCCTGCGGACTTGGGGGTCCCAGGTTCGATTCCGGTCAAGGGCATGTGCCTGGGTTGCGGGAACATCCCCAGTGGGAGATGTGCAGGAGGCAGCTGATCGATGTTTCTCTCTCATCGATGTTTCTAACTCTCTATCTCTCTCCCTTCCACTCTGTAAAAAATCAATAAAATATATTTAAAAAAAATAAAAAGAAATCTCAGGATACCTTCTGGAGGGTTTCTAAGCTTGGAAATACTCAAACAGCACATGCTCCAGGCCAAAGGAGTAATGGGAACAGCAATGGGTAGCCTAAAGGCTGAACTACTATCCACTCAGGTAGAGCTGACAGAGGAGTGAAAGAGTATTTTCTTCCATTCATCCAGGCCTGCAGAGAGCACATGGCACCAGGCTCCATGGGTATTTTGGCTAGGGATGCAGACAGGCTGTAACCAGTTGGTGCCTTCAGTGTCTGGCTAAGGAGCCTAGACTTGATGTATGATTATACCCAGAATTATAGCTCATCTCTCGCTCAAGTGCTCAGACCCATTCCAGGGCCTGGCTTATCTAGGCCTAAGCAGAAACAAAAGCCATTTATTCCTAATTCCCCAGGGATTGATAAATGGCCCCAATTCTGTAAGAAAAGGTGCCCAAGAGAAAAACGAGGGCCCACTGACTTCAAGGCTAAGCACAGATTCGCCCTCTAATACCGAGTCATCACTCACTATTCCTGACATAGTCTGAAGCCTGCAACAAAGCAGCCAGGGAGGAAGGTGGTAGGGTAGGGAGCATTTTGAAGCTGCAAGGGCTAAAGAGGGCAGGGCTCACTCACCCGTCTTCAATCAACATGGGTGTGCCCAATGGCTCCAGGTCCTCAGCTGACACCAGCTGGTGAATCAGACTGTATGACTGGGGATCCAGGCTGCGAGCTTGTGGGGGCAGAAGTGGCGAGTGGGCAGAATAGCTAAAAAGGTGCGGTATGTATTGGTAGTGTGGAGGCACAGACATCCCCATGTACTGCTCCCTGAAAGCCATGAATCCATTTAGTTCCACAGACCTACTGGAGAGAAAAGTCTCATGTTAGTCAGAAGCTGGCAGGGTCTCCTTCCTACCCAAAGGGAATGAGCCAGAAGGTGGCTCAGGTGTTCTTTGCTCATGCAGCCTGTCTCCATCAAGCCAGGGACATAATGAATGGTTACATGCACCTGTCCTCTACTAGACAGGGGCTCTGTGTGTGTACGTATGGGTTACCACTGGACACCCAGGAACTGGCAAAGTAGATATTGAGTAAATATTGGCTAAATGAATTCTTCATACAGGTGCCACGGTTAGAGACTTTTTAATGGATACCAACAGACTATGATGATAAAGGTGAGTATTTTTGTTTTTGCTGCTAAGAAAACTGAAGAAGAGACATGCTAACGCCTTGCCAGGCCACAAACCAAAGCCAGCACTTAGCAAACAAATCTGGCATGTGGCAACAACTCCCCAAACATTCCCCAAATTAAGGAACAACTGAATGAATAAAGGTTACAATATGAAGAGAAAGGCAGATTCTTATCTTTCTTTTACCTGTTTTTGGAGAAATATAGCCACTCTCAACCAATTTTTAAAAATCCTATAGTTTTACCTAGATGCACCTCCTGTAACAGGATCAGCACACTATGGCCCATGGCCCGTTTTGGTAAATTAAGTCTTACTGGCACATAGCCACGCATTCACTGACATACTATCTCTGGCTGTTTTTGCACTATGATGGCACAGTTGAGTAGTTGAGCCCAGACTGTAGATCTGAGAAGCCTAAAATATTTACTGCCTGGCTTTTATAGACAGTTTGTTGATCCCTTTTCTGTAAGAGAGATTTCTGGGGAAAGAATGCCTTCTCTGGTAGCTGATGGCTATATTTCACACCTAACAACTAACTTAAGGTACCATTATTGAACCAAAAGTTGCCAAATTGGTATTCTGGCAAGTCTTACTAGGTTAAAAAGTTTTCCCTATTTCTTAAAATTTATAAAGTGAAACGCTTAACTCTTGCGGAGGCAGAGAAATTATAACTTCAGTGTGGCTTGTTTTATTTCAGTGATAAAGTTAATGAGAGAAAACAGCTACATTTAAAATGTTATACTGTTAGGTAAAGAATGTATGTACCCAGGTTGCATTTATCAGTCTGTAGGAGAGACCTGACATTTTCAAGGTCCTTAGCAAAAATGGGTTGTGAAATGATGAGCCCTACCCCAAAAGACTGAGGAAGTAAGGATACAGTGACTAGGACAGACTGGCAGGAAGACCCAGCACAAACGGTCCCGGGTGGGTCCATTCTCTGGGTGATCTCTAGATGATGCTGGGATGAAGCTCACCTGGAGGACATAGTAGAGCCTGGTGAAGGCTGGTTGCTCTCTGAAGCCCTGTTCCCAGGGGAACTGTGGTCGCTGTCACCATGGTTGCTCCAGTGATTGGCCTCTTCCTCAAATTCCTGCCCAGACATGATCCTTTCAATCTCTTCCTCTGATATCTTTGAGAAGGAATTGATACATGTTAGATTGGGTGTTCAGGATTCCTTCTGTTCCTTCAACATTGAGAACTTATTTCAACTTCATGGGGATTCCCAAACCTTCTAAAGAGAAATGCAGATACCCCCATAGTTCCCTCTACCCCCATTCTCCAGGCTCATCACTAATTTAGGATGGCTTGTTTGCTTGCTTCCCAGCACCATAGTTCCCCACAGCCTTCCTCTTGCTTATTTACCTCTCTCAAGCCATAAAGCCTCTAGGTTCTTCATCACTCCTCTTTGTCCTTGAGTCTATTCTTTCCTACCTCTGAATTGCCCCTCTTCAATAATAAAGTATTATTTGCCCTTTAGGACCCAACTCAAATGTCACTTTCTTTGTGAATCCTTCTATCACTACACCTAGACAAAATTTTAGGTCCTTTTTCTGTCCACTCATAATTCCATGCATTCTGAGAGAGGGTTCAAATAGCATAATGGTTAAGAGTATGAATTCTAGAGTCACACCACCATTGTTCTAATCTAGTTTCTACTTCTGCCACTTTCTAGGTATACAATCTTAGGCAAGTCATTTAATTATTTGAACCTAAAATCCTTCATATATATGGTGGAGAGAATAATTGTATCTATCTCAAAGGATTGATGTGAAGATTAAATTAGTTAATACATGATCACATGTTTAGAAAAGGGCCTAGCCCATAGCAATAATTATGGAAGGCTGACAATGATATCTTCATCATTAGTGTTATTTTTATAGCATTTATGGTAATGAGGCATAAAAATATCCTCTATAAGACCTGAGACTATGACAGGATTTAAAAAAAAATAACTAAGTACTCAATAAATGCATGATGGATAACTGAACAAGTGCTCACTTATTAAGTATCGACCACAAACCTTCGTAGTAAGAAAGCTCAGATAAAGGAATTGATTTGCCCAAGATCACTGGCATGCCCATGCTTGGGCAGGAGTTTGGGGAAGAGGCCAAAATATCCAAATATTCAGTCCAGTGCTTTAGCTGCTACACCATATAGGGAGTAAATAAACACTTCTATAAAGTGCCTAGCCCTAACTGGCTAACCTCAGCCTGCAGAAGCAGAGTGAGTACTGAGGAGGAAGGGCCAGGTGCATTTTTATTTCTTTTCCTATGAAAAGAATGGGAAGACACTGTCTCCTAAGTCTGTCTAACTCATACCCACATAATTCTTGGCTCCAGGAGCCTGTAAGGAAACTTTGAGCTGTTCATAAATACAGGTGGCATTTAGAAGTGAAAGCACAGCTAGCACACAGGAACTGGAGGGAAAACAAGTAACATTTAACTGCTGTACAAGTTGAGTGATTGGTCTCAAATGGTTTGAATTGCATATTGAATTGGAGGGGTTGTCTTTCTTTATTCAGTCACATGTTGCACGCACGCGCGCGCGCGCGCGCGCACACACACACACACACACACACACACCCAAAACCTTTCCTCTTAAGGTCCTTAAAACACTGAAATCACTGTTTGCATTTTTTAAGACATGTGAAGACAGATGGTGCCATCAAACTACAGATACCTACTGAGGCCCAGACTTAAGCAGTCTCAGTGATGGTGGTGAGAGCAAGAACAGAGCGCGGTGGGCATGGAATAACTTGAGCTGGGTAAAAAGGGCCAGTCCTGGTAACATCAGCTTATTCCAGCTGGGAGTCAAAGTCAGCCTGCACCCAACTCTCCCATAGGACACTGGGAAATCACTGATGCATTAAACAGGGGATGGAACATGTTGGGAGTGCTTGAAGCTGGGTTCAAATCTGATATGCAACTAGACTTACTGCTGGGCAAGTCATTGAAGTTCTCTAAGCCTTAGCTCCCTCCTCTTTAGCAGATACTAGAGATAATACAACCTTCCTCATAGCTCTGGGTTCCCTCACAGAGTGCTGCGGTAAAGAAATATGCAGGTTTGAGTCAGATGGATTTGGGAGGCTAATTTAAGATAAGTTATAAAGTGTGGGTGCATAACAGGAGCTCAATAAATGGAAATTCTATCCCTTATTTTTAATTATGCTTAAACACAGTTAAGAACTTGGAAATCACAGCTCTCTTTCTAACATACCCTCGAAACAGTAAAAGAGTAAAAGGAAAATTATATGCCCAGTATCAAAAAGTCAAAGGCAGTGACAGATGAAATAGGTTTCTCTAACATCAGTTCCCTTGATTCTAAATAGAGTTTGGAGGTGTAAGGAGAGCAACACAGGGTACTTGCCCACAGTTAACCTCATACACAATGGTGAAAAACAAAGCTTTTCCTCTAAGATCAGGATCAAGGCAAGGAAGCTCACTCTTAACATTTCTATTCAACATAGTACTGGAAGTCCTAGCAGGGCAACTAGGCAAGAAAAAGAAATAAAAGACATCTAAATCAGAAAGGAAGAAGTAAAATTATCTCTGTTTACAGATAACATTATCTTCTAGGTAGAAAACCATAAAGATCCCACAAACCTGTTAGAACTAATAAAAGAATTCAGCAAAGTTGCAGGATACAAAATTAACACACAAAAATCAGTTGTACTTTTACACAAATAATGAATAAACAAAAAGGAAATTAAGAAGACAATCCCACAAGAGTATCAAAAGAATAAACTACTTAGGAATAAACTTAACTAAGGAGGTGAAAAGCCTGCACACTGCTGAAAGAAATTAAAAACATAAATAAATGAAAAGACATCCTGTGCTCACAGACTGAAAGGTTTACTAGATTCCATGCAATCCCCATCAAAATCCCAATGGTGTTTTTTGCAGAAATAGAAAAAAACAATCTTAAATTCTTATGGAAGTCCAAAGAACCCCAAATAACATAGCTAGAGGCCTTACAGTTCCTCATTTCAAAACATATTGCAGAGGTATAGTAATCAAAACAGTATGATACTGGCATAAGGACAGACATATAGACCAAGGGAACAGAGAGGAGAGCCCCCTAATAAACCATGCATATATGGTCAAAAGATCTTTGACAAAGATGCCAAGACTACACACACAATGGGGAAAGGATAGTCTCTGCCACAAGTGATGTTGGGTAGACTGGATATCCATAAGCAAACGAATGAAATTAGAATCTCATCATACATAAAAACCAGCTCAATGTGAATTAAACGTTTAAATATAAGACCTGAAAATATAAAACTTCTAGAAAAGCACAAAGAAAAACTTCTTGGCAATACTTTTTAATTGATTTGAGAGAGGAAGGGAGGAAGGGAGGGAAGAGAGAGAGAGCAAGAGGGAGGGGAGAGAGAGAGAGAGAGAGAGAGAGACAGACAGACATCGGTTTCACTTACTTATGCATTCTTGTAGTACCCTGACCAATGATTGAACCTGCAACCTTGGCGTATTGGTACGACACTCTAACCAACTGAACTACACGGCCAGTTGAATATGACACCAAAAGCACAATCAACAAAACCAAAAATAGGTAAATGGGATTACATCAAACTAATATACTTCAGCAAAATAAAGGAAACAGTCAACAAAGTGAACAGTCAACCTACAGAATGAGACCATACTTGCAAGCCATATATCTGATAAAGGATTAATATCCAAGATACACAGGAAATTCCTGCAACTAAATATTAAAAAGAAAAACCAACAACCTTTTAAAAAAATGGTCAAAAGATTTTAATAGACATTTCTCCAAAGAAAACATCCAAACAGCCAACAGGTATATGAAAAGATGTTCAACGTGATTTGAAATGCAAATCAAAACCTCAATGAGATATCATGGCATACCTATCAAGATAAAAAAAACCCAGGAAATATATGCTGGATAGGATGTGGAAAATTGGAACACTTGTGCATTGTAAGGTGGGAATGTAAAAATGATGTGGCCACTATGGAAAATAGTATAGAGTTTCTCAAAAAAAATTAAAAATAGAACTACCATATGAACCCACAATCCCAGTAGCAGATGAGGATCAAGGTAAGTATCTGGAACCCTGGGCTTCCAGGATGGATCACAGAGTGTGACTGAGAACTCACCTGGACTGGCCCAATGCTCTTATTCCGGCCTCCAGGCATGCCATCTTCTCTGATTGCTGAAAGGAAACATAAGCAAAAGTGAGAAGCATGCCCACAGAAGTCTAGGCATGAAAAGAGAACTTCTTTAGCCAAAAGCACAGGGTAGTAATTAGTGAAGCCAAGATTAAAACACAGGTCTTTCTGGCCTCAAAGCACATACTCTTATTCCAGGCTACCTCATAGCAGATATCTTTGGGGCCCCAAGGTGCTGGGTACACACTATACACCCTCTATACATTCAATATGCTCAATCAACGTGACTGCATTATTAATAGTCCCACAGTTACAAATATCCCGTCAGGATGACACATTTGAAGACTTTGGTAAATTCAGGAGAGGAATAGAAAGAATATTTTCATTCTCAAATATTTTTTATTTCCAGTGTAAGTTTGAGTCTCATTTGTTGAATGAGAGGAATGCATTTTTTATTTACTTTTAAAAAATTAATCAAAACATTGACTTTCATCATTCCTCCCTATGAAGGCAGTCAGTAGAGTTCCCTTGCCATTGATTTTCCACTCAGGTGATTCAACAAAAGGAAAAAGTTATTTAGCATTTTCTTTTTTTTCAAAATATATTTTTATTAATTTCAGAGAGGAAGGGAGAGATAGAAACAGCAATGATGAGAATCATCGATTGGCTGCCTCCTGCACACCCCCTACTGGAGATCGAGCCAGCCACCTGGGCACGTGCCCTTGAGCAGAATTGAATCCGGGACCCTTCGGTCTGTAGGCCAATGCTCTATCCACTGAGCCAAACCAGCTATGGCTATTTAGCATTTTCTAACTGTAAAAAAAAAAGCTAGATTTAAATATTTAAATATTTAATTTAAATATTCCCCATCCTTTAAATAGTACTAACCTCATTAAGAATTACAACTACTAATACTATTACTATGATCATTGATGGAGCACTTATTACGGGGGCACAGAGAAGAAACCCCTAATTTGCAATTATAGAAAGCCTCTGGTGTCTGGAAAAGCTTCCTAAAAAAAGACAACTGCTAAACTGAATCTTAACAGATGATCAGGATTTATGTAGACAGGGAAAAGGCCTCTAAGCTGAGTGAACAGCACACAGAAAAGCTGCAAGCTGCAAGGAAGCATGGAGTGCTCTTTCTGGGAATTTCCAAGTGCTTCAATCTGGATGGATGAGGAGAGAGAGAAGGGTAGCAAGGGATAAGGCTGGAGAGGCCAACTGAGGCCAGATCACAGAGAGCCTTGAATGCCAGGCTCAGAGTATGCCTTTAGCAGAGGAGCCTGAGGAAGACAGAATGCAGGAAAAGGATGAGGTCAGGCTGACATTTTCGAAAAATCCGTGATGGCCACTGTGGAGGGTGGTTTGGAGGGAGTAAGGGGATAAACTAACGGCATCATATGAGAACAAGCTTTTTTTTAAAAAAAAAAATTTCTTTATAGATTTCAGAGAGGAAGGGAGAGGGAGAGAGAGAAAAAAACATCAATGATGAGAGAGAATCATTGACTGGCTGCCTCCAGTACGTCCCACACTGGGGATTGAGCCCACAACCCAGGCATGTGCCCTTGGCCGGAATCGAACCTGGGACCCTTCAGTTTGCAGGCCAACGCCCTATCCACTGAGTCAAACCAGCTAGGGCTGAGTACAAGCTTCGCTATAATATATCTACTTGAAAAAAAAATTACCATGAAGAATGTAGAAAGTCCTTGGGGCAGGTTTGGTTGCTCAAAAAGTGAGGGCTCCAATCATAACAACACTCAGTACCTGTGTCTGCTGGGAGCTGGTCCATCCTTGCTGTTTCAAGGGACCTGGTATATATGGCATACTGTTCTTAATATGTTTGCTCACCTTCTTGGCACTATGTGTTTTAACCAAGGTCACCTCTCCGAGAAAGGTTGTTTCCCCAGGTAGAGATTTCCCCCTGAAGTTAGGGAGGGAATAAAACCCCTTCACGAAGTGCCAGGCGGGTAATTAATCTCTTTAACTACAAACAATCATGCTTAAGCTACATAATCTTTACTCCCTGGAATGGAGACGAACCTGGCTACAGAACCTAGCGAGAGAACCTGGCTGAAGATCCTAGAGACAGAACCTGGCTACAGAACCTGGATAGAACATGGCAAAAGAGAACCTGACTAGAACCTGGTGACTGAACCTGGCTGGAGAACCTGGAGAACCTGGCTGGAGAACCTAGCAAGAGAACATGGACACAGACCCTGGCTGGAGATCCTAACCAGAACTTGGCTGGAGATCCTGGCTAGGCTGCTGATCAACTGAACGCTGCCTCTGAGTCTTTCCTTCTTCGCCGACTCCGTCCACACCTTTGGGGACCCCTTGACCTGCTGGGGTTGGACCCCAGCATATGTCCTTAAAGCAGACGTCATTCTTGGTATCCTTAGATTATATCCTTCAGAATTAGACAAGTTTGGGTCTAATCCTGTTTCTGCCTTGTCTGTACATATAGATAAATTTCTTCACATCTCTGAATAAATAAAACTTCAGAATAAATAAAATTTACTGAAGAATAAAGAGGGGCTAATGAAGCTTTTTTTATGGGCTATTGTAAAGATTATATATAAAACAATACAGCTCAAGAGCCAAGCATACAGCCTGGCTTATATAGTAGGTACTCAGGAACTAATCCTCCCGTCTCCCCAGCCTCTTGTCTCCAAACACAGGAGTTAAAAAAACCAAGGTTCCATTTCAACTTTGCTGGAGCCTTAGTATCTTCATCTGTGAAAGGGAG